AATTACATTTGAAGCTGTGAAGTTGATAGATGTTCAATTATAAGAAAAGCTACGATCAAACTTCATTTAAGCTAGAAGAAAAATAAAGATCGCAAAAGATTTTAAACAATATACAGTATACGTACTAAATGTAATTTAGGTCGTTATTCAGTATATAAAACCTTTCCTGCAGTAAAATTTACAACTTATTATTCTTTATATACGCGTAGGCGCTTGATTATTTTTTAAAAAGCTCACAATCTTCTCACAATGAATAAAATGGCTTAAAAGTACCGAATTAAATTTTGTGCTAACCAGAAAAGTGGTTGATGATATAAAAAGCTTAGAGTAAGTGAGTGTCTTTCAAAAGCATGGAACCCACACTAACAATAAATTAAGAATAGGTTTGATTAGTAAAAATTTCTGTTGTAACTTTTTGCGAAAATGCAGAAATACAGTATATATCAAAATTTTAAGGGCCACTGCTACTACCTAAACTACAGTTAATCAATTGGTTTTACTTAAAAATTAGTCAAATTTGTTAGTAGCACTTTCTGAAGTTAATAAATACCATTCAAAAAATTTTCTTATTATAGTTTATATTCATGCGTCGTTTTCATTGTCTCTTCTCAATACAGTGCTGAGCAGAAATATGATTTTAATCGGCGCTTATGTAGAAGTAGGTAATTTATACTAGGGGGGTTTAAATTCTGGAGCAACCGAAAAACTACTTATACTGTAACCGAGTCAACAAGTTAACGAGTCATATAACCTCGTGATGCACCAGGCTTTGACCAACCTTATGCAAAGTATCATCTGGCACCGAGAATAAAATTGTACGTTTACTTTCTCTAAATGTAGCTTTTGGTATAGTCCCGGTAAATCAGTAATGGACTATGACATAAGTCATAACAAATTTTTAATATGACCTCGGTCATATGGTCATATGACCATAGGTCATAAGGTCATAAGGTCATAACGTTATGACCAGTGGTCATATGACTATTATGACCAAGGTCATATGACTAAACTGATAGGTCATAATATTTTAACCAATTAAAATTACATATACGTGTAACGTAGCAGAATCGCAGTAAAAGGAAGTTGAATTATTATCTACGTACGTACGTACGTACGTACCCAAGTATGCAGTGTTACGCAATATGTATTCGAAACCTTGTACAACGCCCAAAACACAACTCTGCTTCAACAAATACGTATGTACCCAA